TAACCTTAAAATTACTTATTAGATGCACAATATTAGACACACAAATAATCACATCTAGTGATTATTAGAATCATGTTTACTAGCAACAACACTCCATACTTGGTTTAGTATGTGCTAACTTAATCACAAAATTTCAAGTCCCTACAAAAGCTTTCTCCAGCACATCACATCTACATCACAACATTCACAAAAGATGGCAAACAACACCTTAGCTCCCTGGCTAAGGAGGCATTATTACAGTGGGCTTTTTTTTCCAAAGGGATGTTTCTGTAATTGAAACATCTTCTTTCATAATCATACCTTAGTTAGAACCATAATCCCTCCTTCACTATTGGACCATTCTTCCCTTACACAGAGGTGCCCTTTTCCTAACTAAAAATCAGATGTGACAACACATAGCAGATTTTGATCCTAGAGGTAAACTATGCCATGCTTCACCTAAGAAAACTCAAAAAGGGAGTGATTTTCAAGTTTTGTGTTCGGAAAACCTTTGCACCAGGGAATAAGCTAAACCTCAAATAACCTAAATAAGCCAAAGTAATTGCAAACCATGGGGTGAGCTTGAGAGCACTGCTAACAGATGGACACCTTTGGGAGACACTGGGGGTGCGTGGTCCTGCAGTTCTCTTCAAAGCCAGATCTGTACTGAAATGAGTATGATTCACACTTTTTCAAAGGCACAGCAGTGCTGAAAGTGTAGAGATTTTTCCAAAGAATCTTGCCTGCAGGAACTGTCATTCTTCCCCACTGCCCTCATCAGTGCTGCCCTAAAGGAAGTACTGTTTGGCATTAGGACAGTAAATATTCTCACAAGTTCACAGTTTTATTTCATCCTGTGCCCTGTTCTCAGCACTGGATGAAGTGCTTGGATAAAATAGTTTCAGTGAGCGAAGAGCAACAGGCAGCCTCTCTTGCTCTTTCTGCTCTAAACTGCTAGCCCAAAGGCTATTTCTATGTATTTTAAATTCTGAAAAGTACACCCATTGCCCCATTCTGAGAATGTTCAGATTAGGGAGGAAAAAAGGTTGTTTTTCCTGGAGTCACACTGGAAAAATATTACCGTGTTTGTATAGCGTTCATGTGATTTAAGTACATGATTAGTAATTTTGCTGATCATAGAAGTAGTAACAAATAGTTTCCATTATATAATTGTGTGAACACAGTGGGTAAAAAAAAAAAAAAACAAACCTTCCAAGTATAGTAGTATATTTTTCATGAGTACTATCAAACCCCAGTTTTCATCACAAAAGTCCTAATCTTTCCCCTATGAATTTCCAGGATCCCTGCTTCAAACATGATGGTGTAGCTAACAAATTTTCAAAACCCAGACCCCCACATACTCAGCTGCACTTTACTTTCACATATGGTAGTCCCATGATCCCACCTGATTTCAGCATGCAAGTACAATGATTAGAAATCTAGTCCCAGAATCCAGTTCAGCACAAGTCAGTACACAACACATTATTATCCATTACTGTATGTACCTATCAACTACACATTTAAAAATATGGGATTTTTAAACTTTTCTGAGCTATCTTAAAAGTGGTATCAGAAGCACGGTTCAAGACACAGACAGATAGCTTGACAGAAACTATTTTCTATTTATTTTTTGCTAAGAACACAGAAAAAAAATGTGTAGTTGTAACTCTCTGTAATACTTTGCGTCATGCTTCACTTGGGGAAACCACTGATTGTTTATGCCAGGCTAGTACAGTCCTAGTTCTTTCAATCAGCATTTAATTAGGCAGATTATCCTTTTAACATAGACTATTTTTTTAGTTTTGTTTGCCCCACATTTTGTCTTTGAAAGTATCATAGTGGGTTTCCTGTTCCATCATGGGGTAGTGTCGTTATATTTAAAAAAATATAATATCTCTTGAGCATTTCAAATCCCAATTCATAGATTTTCAACACTTCCTGCAACTCAGACTTGTTTGATTTTTTGGTGGTTCAGGCTTTTCCTTCCCCACTGTTTCTATTTCACACAGAAACTGAAATTGTGAAGAGGACCATTTAGGACAGATACTTTATGAACACAGAAGGAGATGATCTGCAAGTTCTCGGGAGCTTAGACTGTCTAAATAGGCAAAAAAAAGGGCAATAATTTTCTAAAATTCACAAGGCAGACCAACAGCAGAGATTATCACCAAGTCTTCTGTCTCCTAGTCCAAAGTCATCTACTAAACCAAAAATTTTTTTAGTTAAGAAAACACAAGCAAAACTCATTCTGCTACAAAGGAAGGGAAAAAGATTTCCTCCTCAGCAGTACAGTTACAGAGAAAGCAGACAATGTTTCCCCAGGTAGTTAACAGAGGTAGGTAACAGACTGAAAATGAAATAATAAAGCTAAGGTTAGAACACTACACTGTATAGGATACAGCTGGCTTTGAAAAAATGATACATTAGTCAAAGATGACATTCACCTCATTTGAATTCCATGGCTATTTGCAGTCCCAGATCACATGAGCATATAACTCAAATACTGCGTCCCCACAGGATGTAAAATGATGCCATATGAGAGAATAATATCTTATTACATTCTTTGTATAAAGCAAATGAAAACATTTTATGGCAGAAGCATTAGCAGGGACTCAAACTTAGTACATCAGTGGTGGTACAGCAGTACCACGATTTTGCTCTTGGTTAAGTAGTTGTGTGCATTCCCAGGAGACCACCTTGTGCACTGTACTTCCTTTACAACAGTAGTATATTTTTAAACCATTTCTTAATACGATGATTTCAATTTCTTATATGATTATTAAAAAAAATTCTGCTGGTCACAATATAGATGCAACGAATTTTGTAGAACTGATACTAGAACTTATATATATTCTATTGTCTAAAAACTCTAAACCACACTGAAATACAAACATATTCAGCAATATTAACACTAGAGTTGTCTGTTAAAAGTTGTCATATTCCATGCAAAGAAATACACAACATAACCCAAATGTTACACAGCATACTGCTCAAAAGTTATGAGATATCAAGAAGTGGGTTTGCCTGTACAATCTGAAAGCAAATCTGATTTTCCCTGTGACATAAGCTTTGTGTGATCTCATATCTTTTATACTTTTTAGAGCCTTTGTATTAGTGTCCAGTTGGCACCCAGACCTTGGACAGAAACTTCCATTACTTCCTGTATTTAGCCATGATACTAATAATCTAGAGAAGCTGAAGACAAAGTGAAGTAAACACTTACAAGTGTTCTCTGATGATAAGCCTAAGGCAGAGAAATGTTCCTTAGGCATTTACAATTCTGTCCAGACCTGTATGCTTCTTTCACTAGCTACAGCCAAGAGCAAGTAGCAGGGTTCTGAAAACATTAGAAAATACTTGCTTCAAGTGAGTGACCAGAGGAGCAAAAAGTAATCAGGAGTAATCAACCTGTTAAGAGCTCTGAGAGTCTGTGAATTGGTGCCAAAAACACTGCATTAAGGCCAAAAGACTCATGTGTAAAGACTTAACAGAGTCTTCAACCAGGAAATATGACAAAGTAGACTAAATAATGAGTTCAGTAGCAAGGCCAAATCAAGGATTGCCTAACACCACCTGATCCTTATGGCGGGACCCAAGCAGCATACTCTGGTTCATACAGACTGGGTTCATTCTTCCAAGGTAGAGTTCTTCACTGATAGATATTTCAACATTTTAGTCTAATTAATTCTCTAAGTGCCCAGAGACCATGGCAAAATTCATCTTTCATGGCACACATTACAATTCTTTGTAAAGATCAGTAGATAATAATAGGTATTTTATTAAAAATGAAGGCAAACGCATTATTGGTGAACACCTGTGATTTTTGCCCCCACAAAAAAACCTCTGAACAGCAAAACCAGTTCCTCAGTGTACCATTCAAATTTACTAACCTCCTTTTTCTGTTTGAAATGCCCTGCTTTAATCACTTCATTCCTCTAATTTCAGCAGAGACAATTATTCCACTTTCCTTATTCATCTTTAGAACATAGTCCATCCCATGCATTGAATAAATTCAGTTTTCTATGGAGAATACCAAACTCCCCTCCACATTCACAATTTTCTATAAAATTCAAGCCCTTATTAGAAGGTATGAGAGTACTTGAGATACCAGTGGAAAATACATTTTAAAAGCTTTTCTTCAGTACAAGAAAAATTAAGATTTTCTCAGGAATGAGTGGAACACTGTCACTGAAATTTCCTGAGTCAAGGTTTTCCTGAAGGACACCTGAAGATGTTCCTCAGAGGGTGACAATGGGTACATATCCAAGACAAATAGTTATTCTCAAACTAATATATAAACAGAAGATAAGAGAGGATCTTTCCATAGAAAGTATAAAGTAGTATTGAATTCACATGATCATTTCTACTTATAACAACAGAAATGCTTTTTAACATGTTTGCTGTTTTTTCTGGGATACAGTTACTTTTCTTCATAGTAGCTAGTAAGGGCTGTGTTTTGGATTTGTGCTGAAAACAGTGTTGATGAAAACACAGGGATGTTTTTGTTACTGCTGAGCAGCACTAACACACAGTCAAGGCCTTTTTTGCTTCTCACAGCACCCCACCAATGAGTGGACTGGGAGTGCACAAGGAGGTGGGAGGGGACACAGCCAGGCCAGCTAGGCCAAGCTAATCCAAGGGATATTCCATACCACATGGTGTCATGCTTGGTGTTTAAAGCTGGGGGAACAAGAAAGCAGTGGAGGGATGTCCAGAGTCATGATGTTTGTCTTCCCACTCTAACAGATGATGGAGCCCTTCTTTCCTGGGAACAGTTGAACACCTGACTGCCCATGGAAAGCAGTGAATGAATTTCTTGTATTGCTTTGCTTGTATGTGCAGCTTTTGCATTACCTATTAAACTGCCATTATCTCAACCCATGACTTCTCTCACAGTTTAATCCTTCCAATTCTCTCCCCATCACAGGGGTAGTGAGCATACGGCTGCGTGGTGCTTGACTGCAAGCTGAGGTTAAATCATGACAATATGGAATTGCAATTCAAAATAAGTATTAGCTTACCTGACCAGAAAGCGATGTAAACCAACATCAAAACTTCTGTAAGAAAAAAGATTCACAATATTTTAATTATTAAAGAAATATTTTTCTCTTGGGTGTTGTACAGACACTGTATTTCAAAATATTAATACCAAAGATAAATATAAAGTAACTGGAATTGATAAACCAGAAGCAAAAGTGTAAGACACAATTTCTCTTCTGTAATGACATGAAATTTAAGATGATCATCTTTTAAAATGATTTAGATGCATGTTAAAAATCTCACAAATTCCTTGTTGGAGTATTTATTCAATAAACTATTAACATTCAGACTATTATAACCCACATAAAGCATAAATTGTGTATATTCTGTTATTGGAAATAATGTAATGCTGATGACCAGCAAGTTTGCACATTTTGTCACATGCAAGTAGATCCTCTGTGCAAAACTACTGTGAAATCCTTTCTTTCCTCTTTTCTGCTCTGTACTGCACTAAAACACAAGGGATAGCTGTGAATTCTCTCCATGATAAAGAACAACCAAAAACCCCCTTATGTCTCCTTCAGATATAGAATATACCAAGAAGTAGACCTTCCAAGTGCATTCCGCTCAGATTGCTGAGGAAATTAACTTTGAGGCCTTCTGACAGTAAGTACAAGTTAGATCACATTAGATTACAAGAACCATGTCTGAAATCTCCAGCACTAACAACATACATTGACAGTAACTGTCAGTGTTTCTTTCCATTTTTCATTTCCTCCATTGCTCAGACAACTCAGGAGAACCAAGCTCACGAACAACTAATGGCAAATCTTTGATGCTACATGAAGGTATCTGCTGATTTGAGACATTTACTGAATATCCTAAGTATGTGCCAACTTTATGTGAGTACCAGTATAATCCCAGATTAACTGTGTGCCTAACAGCACAACTGAAAAATGCAAATGTCTTATTTCCAGTGCTGGACTTGCTCTGAAATGGGCTTACAGTTCAGGTACACAGCAAACATTTTGGCATATACTAAGCTATTCAGTATTCTATTCCAAAAGCATAATAGGTCATTTGAGTACAACACAGTCTTATTTTAACAGCACTGCTTGCGATGTGCTGCTTTCTACCTCAAAGAGCAAGAGAAATCATCAGATAGTTAATGGCACCCTGATATCAGCAGATAGATAATGAGCTGCAGAAATTCTAGGAGTTAACAGAGAAGGAAATTCCACTGGTTCGGCTGGGTGGAGAGGAGCAAATTTTTCACTTAAAAGCTGCCTTGCAATAGAAAAACATTACGTCAGGAACATGAGCTGGTCGTCATTAAACCTGTATTTTTCACATTCCTTTCCTGAAATCGTTGACCATTTTACATTATTGTTACATTACCGTGCAATTAAACTGCATGAAGTGCATCCAGTTGTCTTTTTTCTTCATTCCTCCTGCCTGGACACATACTGTAATTTGGCTCCCTCTCTTCACTAAAATATTCTTTGTTCTACAGACAGTTTGCAGTATCAGAGCTGCCCACAGTGTATTTTTATAGCTCTGAAAACCTTTTCTTCCTAGGACCAAAAATTCAGTATGTTTGCGCTGGGATGGGGAGAAGAAGAAACTGATACGGTTTCAGAAGAGAGCTGTATGCTAAACAGCCCTCTTGCACTTCTTCAGCCAAGCTCATCTGCTCAAGTTCTTCAAGCTATTCTCTGATGGCAGTAACCAATCTGGTACACTCTCTGAAGGGACAGAAGAACCAAGCTTCTTGTGGACAGGGATGTGGAGCACAAAAATATCATTGCTTTTGACACTGAACCAAAAGCCAAAGGACTTTGCTTACCATAAGCATGGAAGCTGAAAGGTCCTGCTAACTTGAGATGATCAGAGCTGAAGGAGGTTGGGGTGGACAAAGCTAAGGCTGAGTGGGTTCAGACAAGGAGGGAAAACAAGACAGTTTGTGTAGATATCATGACATGCCATCTCTTCTCTCATTTTTCACTCTTTGCAAAACATAATGCACTTGCTACTAAAAAAGTTTTGTAAGTTTTTTTCATCTGGGCTTTAGCTATTGAATATTTTTTGGAAATATTTTGATAAGTATTAACAATGAACATGCATAGAAACGATTTATTAGAATAAATGAAAAAGAAAAATTATCAGAGCCTCACTAGGTGTAATTCAGCATACATAGACAGGGTCCATTATTCCTCAGTTGATTTTGTACTGATACATTTCAATAGTCTACCCAAGATCCTCAGTTCTCAACAGTGTAAGCAGTTGTTTAACTGTGCTATGACCAAAAGAATTTTGAGAATTGTCCTAGTTAGGACAACTGAGACCAGTTCATCAGGGTATGGGTGTAACCCAAAACTGTGTATTCTATAGCCTTCCATGCCATTTCCCAGAAACTGTTATCAATGAACCATTTACACCCTCTGCCCATAGAGCCTGACTCCTCAGGCTACAAACTAGGTGTTAAGAGGCCTGTGAGATAGGAGGATGCTCCTGTCCTCACACCCTTTGTGGAACTCCCCGCCCTGAGGGAAGTGCTGAGCAGTCCTGCCTGAACTGCAGGATATATAATCTTGGAGTCTTGGAACATTTTTAACCACTCTGTGGGATCCAGAGAAGGACTGCGGCTCATCGCTCTCAAACAGACTTGGATCACCACCCTATACTGGACTCCAATCACCACTTTTGACCAGACTGCAACAGCTCTCCCCCCAGCATCTCACTGCAATCACCACTTTTGACCAGACTGCAACAGCTCTCCCACCAGCAGGTTCTTCCCCTCTCCCTTTACTTTGGACTCAAGCGGGGCCCAAGGAACACCACTTTGTTCATGTCCCAGGGTACTGGGTTATACATTTGGGTTTTGTGGGTTAAGACCAATTGTTTGTTTGTATGATTGTACTTACTGTATTATTTTAGTAAATTGTTATTCTGACTTATAATCTCTCCTTTGAGTTGAGTTCATTTCCCCTGCTGGTTAACTCTTAAACCAGCACAAGAATATAAAGCATCATCTGACTGCGCACTTAGATCTTAAAGATCCCACAGGACCTATCATTGATTAGGTCCAAAAGCAAGAACAACAAGGCTGAACAATTTCAAATTGTAAATGGAAGAAATGGTTGCATTACTTAAGGCTATGGATACTGTGTACATATATCTTGGTTAATGAATAGAAACATTGTGCAAGACAAAAATATTGAGTAGATAGGATTATGGGAGGCTAGTTTTGACAAAAAACTACTACAGACACTTTTGACCGTTCTGCTTGTTCATATTTAAATACATACTGCAGCTAAGTCTACAAATAAAGTAAAAATACAGTGAAGTAGCAGAGGCAACAGATCTGGTAGATGCATCTATTCTCAGATGGAAAAGTTAAAAAGGGGTAAAGAGGGTTTGTAGAACAATGTTAAGACTGCAACCTGGGGGTGGAATAAGCACCTTCATTAAATGAAAAAAGAGAACAAATAATCACACTGTATTAGCATTAAAAATGTCATAGCAATCCCTTCAACATCAGAGGACTCCACCTATGAGGCATGACAGTGTCCCTCACAATTAACACAAAATTACACCTGCCATATAAAATACATCCATATTTAATTGATATTACAGTATAGTCTATAACGAGCTTCACACAGCTTGTAAAATCCTGAGTTTCTCTGCAAAATACACAATTTATCTGGTAGTTCTTGCAATTTAGGGTGCCTCAGTTACATAAAGGTTTCAGAAATGCTTTCAGAAATCCTGTAACAAGCACAAATTTTCAAAATAAATGTTCTTATTAAAATCTAAAACAAGAGAAAGGATATCCACAGCAATATGAGTGAAAAGTGATTTACCAGTTAGATTCTCTATTCTATTCAAATGTTGGTAGCAATATAGTATTTCAAATTTGTGAAAAATAAGTAAAATCTAGTTTATCAAAATAGTAATGGTCTTTGGACAGAACAAAATCTTGACTAGTCAGTGGAACAATAAAGGGGAGATATATTTAACCTCAATTTCATAATCATAATTACATATTGCAGATAATTTGATAGGGTTTTTTTTAATAAAAACATCCCTAATTCTGTTCCTCTGAAGGGTAGTTTTGAATCACAGTTCTATACACACCTATCAATGCTTTTGTTAAGCATGGAAGTTTTAGTTTGATAGAATTCAAACAGTTATACATACAATCCATCATCATCAACTACACTAAACCAACAAAGACCTTTTCCAAGAGGTCTTTGAAACCTCTGCCTGCAAGCATACATCTCTCTCCTCAAGGTACATTTTCAAAATTATTTCACAGACGTGCAGCTTCTGCTCTGAAAGCTAAATGCATAATGCAACAACCTGCCTCCAAATTTGCATTCAGCACAAAGCTGATGGGGGGAAATTAAAAAATTATATGCACATGTCATCCATTGGATTGTTCACTTTCCACAAAGCTGTGCTTTCCTTTAACTGAGGTCCACACTCTGGTTCCTCAAAAGAGGAATTGTGTGAGCCTTTAGCATACAACTTTTAAACTTGATTAAGTTATGCCAGCCTATTCTATTTAAGGATTTGACCCCACATTGACCTAGATGAAAACTGCTTCTTATTAGCTGTTTTAGGGACTACAATTTACAATTCCAATGTGATGGCTAAAGGACCCACACACAAAATGAGGTTTGATTGTTCAAACCTCTTGCCTAAAGATTTACAATGATACAAAAAACATAAGTACTGAGCACATGTCAGGATCATAAGAATCAATTTAAAGTTAAGCTGACTACTAGAGACATTTTTTATGAAATTAATTGCAATAAATTTGAATCACTCAACTCTGATTTTGTATATCCATATTTCTAAGCCGTGTGCTGAAGAGAAACCAGCGAAGTTTGTTTTCTGCCAGTTCCTCCCCAGGACTGCTGGGCTGCATGCTACTCCTGGAAACAAAGCATGCAACACACAGCATAATCTGGGAAGATCTGGCTAATCATGTACTTCAGCAAAGATGCCCACTGCAAGCATCACCACTCAAAAGTAGGCATGGTTCTTACTTTGGGCCCTACTTTAGGGGAGT